AGATGAAACAGCAAAAATGCCTGCAAATCTCTGATCTATAATTTTAACCAGTGACTTAAAGTGATTTTTGTTCTCATTATTCGGTAGGTGATTCAGTGGGCTACAAATATCTCCTGTTGTGGATCAGATGCACTTTTTTTTTTTTTTCTCTATGTGTGTGTGTTTGTAATTTTTAGATTGATTAAATGATTATGGTTGAGAAATTTTATTTTTGCTTTTATGGTGCTATTTTAATGTTCAGCCAAGACCAAAATGACTAGGTGAAACATTAGATCTCAACCAAATATAAATGGAAGTCTATAAAAATAAAATTTATTTAAGAACGGGGTAGGCTGGGTGCATTCATGTGTGCTGCTTATTCCAGTGACTTGAGAGGCTGAAGCAGGAGGGTAACCTGGGTAATGCAGTGAGATTGTAAGAAAAAAAGAAAAAGGTGGTAGTAACTTTTAAACAAACTTGTAATGATGCCTTCAGTGATCCTCACCTCCACTTTCCAGTCCTTATGTAATCTTGTTTCATACTGTATTGGCTACGTCTACATGACCAATAGAATTGGATCAAAGCAATAGTGCATGGTTTTCAAGGCTGGGGCCGAAAAGGCAGTGCAGTGCCTCTTCTGCTTTTCCTTCTGGGGTCCATCACTCTGGGGGATTCAGTTGCAAAGTCCTGTGGACATTTATAAAGGTCCAGCTTGGCATGAGTGCGGCCATCTTGGCATGACTATGGCCATCTTGCTTGTGACCACCATTCTGCCTGTCAGGTGAACCTACCAAGGATCCAACCCTTTTGGATGGCCATCTGAGAATTCCCGCTGGCCACGGACACTCCCAGTTTGCTAACTGACATTTAACGTATGAATAGTTTCTTTGAGGAAGCAAAGTACACTGTGCTGGCTGCTGGCCACCTTGGTCTTGCTTAAAGTCCTTCCTCCTTCCTCAGGCTGTAGGGGTCCCATTGTCACGCTGTCACCCAAGACAGGGTTCTCTGCCAGTTAGCTGCTAAAAGCTTGCGCTCCGCAGTCCTGCATTTGCCCACCGCATTGTCCGGTCTCACCTTCTGCCTTTGGTAGCCGGTTCTTGTACACTGAGCTTTTCTGAAACAACGTTCAAGGCATTTTCTAGAGAGTTCTACATGAAAATGACTGAGGCTTCTTGTCACACAGCCAGAAGCAATGTCCCAGTCCCACAAGTGCACCTTCTTGGAAGCTGATTTTACAGTCAATGTCAAACCTCCAGGTGACAGAGACACGAGGGCCCAAACTGATTTCATGACAGCTGATCCCCAACT